ACCCCTACATATTTCTTAAAATAATTAAGTTAATCCGATCGTTTATGGTGTAGCCTTCAAGGGATTGGGCCACTTCATTCCACTAAACATTTAATCAAATATCAATTCCTTTTGAAAAAAAAGGCTGAACTCGTACAAATTTGTACGAATTTAGCCGAATTTGATATAAGCTTATGGATAGTGACATTGATGCTATCCATGATTAAAGAGAATGACTAAGTTCTCGACTCGATCACCTTTCCATCCAAATCAAGATGCATAGTAAAGAAACTAATTAACAAAATAGAGGCTCTTTATACATTGTTTGACTGACAAGCACCTGAAACTAAAATTGGGATAAGGATGAATTAAAACATTTCTGAATCCGTAATGTTGCCGCGAGGTTCAAGCTTTGCATCAAATTCCATCGCACATTAGAATTACATATTCATATATGACCAGGCCAAATAGAGTATCTGAGCTAAAAACATTCTATAGTAATCCATATATTCCTATGTTTTTTTCAACTCAGGAAGGTGACCTAATTGTGGGGGAGGTACATGAGATATATAAGGACGGAAGTTTACAATTGCATATGCCGGGGCAACGCTCAGGTCGCCTAGGTGGTGGATGTCTGCTCAAACTTCCACCTAACTGCATCAAGCGGCAGAAACTCCACCGCCATCGCCTTCTTGTGCCACGCGCAAGTGCCCTGCTTCGTGAATCCTTCCCTGCCAGCTCCCTTAGCAGTGGTGGCCTTGACCTAGTTTCCGCGACTCGGGTTGGCCTTATACTTGGCTGCAATGGCTTGGTCTGGGTAGGTCTGGCTTCTGGCGCTGATTGGTCTGGAGATGCTCCCCATCAAACCGACTCAAACTCCCAGCCTGAAATTGAGACAGACTCTCTTGATCCCATGGAACGGCGTCGACTAGCTGTGGATGAGCGACTGGCGGTTGCTCGCGTACGGAATTGCATCCTGGCCTTAGCCCGTCACCGAGTTCCTATTTGGGAGATGAGCGTTTTAGCTGCCTTTGAGGCCAGTTGGCTTGAGGACCGGCATCAAATAATATCAGGGCCGGAGGCGATTGCGACTGATACCGAAGCAGCTACAATCGATCTCTTCGCTGGAATTGCTGGTCTCCTTCAAGCTGACGCCTCTCGTCGACTTGCTGCCCTTGTCGCTGCTAAGATAGAAGCCTCCTTTTGACATAATTAACCCTTTGGTGTAATATTGTAATATTGTTTTAATTAGTACACCTTGTTTTGATTTCCTATTATTATTTAATCGTAAATTTCGTCATTGCCAATATTTTCCTCTGCTTACCTACGGAGTTGGCCTTAGCTACACTTACTTTATTTTGACTTGCGCAAAAATCACGCCAAAATAAAAATGTGTAAATATA